CTCCTAGCAACAAACTGTCTTCGCACCCCTTAATATTGCAACCGCAATTCCCCCGGACACAAAATGTCTCTTTGGATTATTCTTTAAATCTAGTAATTCCAGAAATATTCTGCAAAAAATGTAGAGAGAATTCTTGAATTTATCATCCACAACGCTTTCTCAATTCAGAATACCTCAGTCTCTTTGCAAATATCCATGAAATTGAATGTCTGAAGTCTTCTTGAAACCTATTAATCTCCATAAAAAACATCGATTGACATTGATTACAATCTACGAGATTCGACGAAATTTTCAAAATGAAATTCTTCTAAAACTGTGATGCATCCCTTGGGCTGTTCCCCCAAATTCGCGACACAATTTACCAATTAAGATTTTGTTTTCATTAACTATGACCTCCTAGCAGCAAACTGTCTTCGCACCCCTTAATATTGCAACTGCAATTTCCCCAGAATGTCGAAACACCCAAGAAAATCCAAAGTCAGCCCCCGCCTCAGATTATCACCACCATTAAAAATTAACCTGTCAATTCCACCAACTGGTAATTACTTCCCAGTCTCCTTAAAGTATCCCCTAATAATTAACAACCTTTTTGGAATGATGGGAGTGGAGGATCCACCGGGAATAACACCGAGAAGATTGTCCCAGCCCCCAATTACACCACCGGCGTGTCTCTCAATGAGTTCCTTCAGTGGTATCGACATCTCCTCCTCCACAGTGCACGGATTGTTTACGTGACCTGAGATGTTGAATAGTTTGGTACCGTGATTACGAGTTCGACCGAAACTAGCAAACCAGGTACCTCCACGACGACAAATTGTCTGTAATGAGATAGAATCACTATTAAATTATTAACTCCAATTCCTTCATCCAAGAGCCGGGGAAAAAGGCCATAAAATCGTGGCCTCGTCACCAATGAAATGGTTTGAAGCATTAATTACTAAAAATATTTGCGACAAGACCATTAAATTCTGATGTCAGATAGATTTAATAAATTTTAATCCAGATAGTTTTGAGAATATCTTGGGAATTGGTGAATTTAGAGCAGAATTTTAAGAGATTATTTTTGTTGTAAATTTTATGGGCTATAGAAAAGATTTTTCGATATTTTTCTACAAACCTACTAGATTTGGAGATATTCGAAAATATTAACGAATTGAATATTTAAATATTTGCAATATTTACATATTGAAGAATCTTTTATTCAATTAAAAAATCATTGCGCTTGACGAATTCAAGAATTTGTTGCAAATCATTTCCTGTATATCTCTGGAAGTAGTGAAAAATCGTATGAAGATATTTTTCTCTAAATTCACCTTTTATTCTTCTAGATATTCACAAAATAATCTACATATCTCTCTTGAATTTGCCTACAATTTTGTACTTATTATTCTTCACAAATCTCTAAAACTATTGGCTTTATTGAGAAACTTCATAAAACCTCTTTTGCAACTTACAAAATTCTCTATAGAAAATGTCTCTTAAAATGATTCTGTAAACTCTCTTCCTTCCAAAGTTATCAGCAGAGTAATTTTTCAAACGCATTCCAAATGTCTATTTTTATCATTTCGCAACTACGCTTTTAAAAAAATTACAGTCTCATGGCTGATTCATTACTAATTTTCAGAAGAGTGACATTAAATTCGATCTAGAGGAAAAAAACCTGAAGTTTCAAATGTCACTAAAAATTCAATGAAATTCCAATTCGTTGAGCACCGGAAAGACGAAAATTCCCCAACTTACATGAATTTTAACTCAATTTTCATTAAATATTTCAACTTAAATTTATAAGTTAAATTAATTTGCCCACAATTTGAACTTTGAAATACGAAATTCCCCGAAATTTCATCCAGAAAATTGTTGACAGTATAAACAAATGAAGAATAAATAATAACCAATTGCTAAAAATTAACTTACCGGTGCAACAGCCACAGTTTCCACATTAGTAACAGTAGTGGGGCATCCAAAGACACCCACATCAGCAGGGAAAGGTGGCTTGAGCCTCGGTTTTCCCTGTTTCCCCTCGATACTCTCAATCAACGCCGTCTCTTCACCACAGATATAAGCACCAGCCCCCCGTTGAACGAAAATATCAAAATCATATCCCGTACCACACGCATTTTTGCCAATTAAGCCAGCCTGATAAGCCTCAGCAATGGCAACCTGCATGTTCGACGCCTCGTTATAGAACTCTCCACGAATGTAAATGTAGGCTGCACAAGCCCCCATGGCACGACCAGCGATTAAACAACCCTCGACAAGTTTATGTGGATCGTGGCGCATAATTTCACGATCCTTGCACGTGCCTGGCTCACCCTCGTCAGCATTGACGACGAGATACTTGGGTCGGCCGTCCGATGGCTTTTGCATAAATGACCATTTCATTCCAGATGGAAATCCAGCACCACCACGGCCACGAAGGCCCGATACTTTGATCTCATTTATTATCCAGTCTGACCCTTTATCGATAATTGCCTTGGTTTTGTACCAGTCGCCTCGTTTCAGGGCACCCTTCAGCCTCCAGTCATGTCGGCCATAGAGATTCGTGAATATACGGTCTTGATCGTTCAATGGACTTCCACATTTCTATTTGAGGCAGAGAGGAACTAGTTAATTAATATCGGGTACTAGGGGGCTAGTTCCCAGCTCGCTCCGCTCGCCAACCCCCATATGATCTATGTATGATCCTCATGATCCTTATTATCAAGTTTTTTGAGGCCCGAGTGCAAGAGCGGGTCGAGAAATAGCGTGCAAATGCCTCTAAGGATGATTTTTGAACCAAGGGAGACTCCTGGACCCACTGGACAATCTTGTCACAACTCTGGTTTCAGATTTGGAAACCAAAATCATCCTTAGAAGCATTTGCACGCCATTTCTCGACCTGCTCTGGCACTCAGGCCTCAAAAAACATTCATATCTTGTCTGACATTTCTGTTATTAACTCTGGTTTTCATTCTGAAACCTTCACTCACCCCTTCAGTCACCCTTACGTGAATCACTAGGATCATCTGTGTGACTAACGTTATTTCATCGCCCTCCCCCCCCTGGTTCCCTGCGGGTCTCACTCACTGCATTATCTACATGCCCAATGAACTACTGCGTGCCTGCGTGAATCACTCAGAAAATCCCATGGAGTGTATGAAGGTACGGAGGTACCGGAGGGATTCACGCAGGAGTGCGAATAGCCACTGCCAAAAATAAATTCTGGTGGGTTTTTCGGCATTATGAGCCTTTTGTTAATAGTTGAGCCATGGTGTGATATCAATAATTTTGAAACTAATTTGAAACTAATTTAACTAAATGTTTTGTAACTTAGGGACAAAATATTTCTCGATACACTTCTCTCTGTTAAGGCCCGATTGCACCAAGCCCTGTTATCCAAATAAACCCCAGGGTTAAACTTATCCTCGGCGTCAACATTTTTCAATATTTGACCAGAAGAATAATTTTTTATTTATCCTGTAGCCTCAGTTGAATCAATTTAACCTTGGGATTAAATTTTATTTTTTGTTCCTGGGATAAATTTAAGATACTCTCCCGAGTAAAATAACCCATCGAACATCCAAATTTACTTTTTTTCTTATCTGACGTTTTCGTTACCCGGAGCTGGTGCAACCGGGCCTAAAGAATTTTTTTTTCTGAAAAAGCGCCGTCTTGGATGAATCATCCGCCTCTTGAGGAAAATACTTCGTTGTTTTCAAATTCGAACCAAACAATTATTTTTTTGGTAATTTTTAACTAACGATTTTGTTGGTCCAAACAAGACTTGTTTGAGAACTTGTTCGTTTTGCTCTCAGTGTACAGTTTCATTCGCATGCATAATATTGATTTAACGAGGTGCACGGAATTGCTGCACATGGTGCAATTCTTTATTTGCGTTCCTATATTCTTCCTGAAGCACTCGTTTAGTGCAAAATATCTATTTATATTTTAAGATTGCTGTACCTTTCCTTCTGGTGCAGCATCAGCAAACTTCCTGGCCTGTTGGGTCGTCAACACTGGTACCAGGCACTCTATAACACCAACAATCAAATTATATAAGCCTCCATCTGCGTAAATATCTAATGAATTTCCTCGAAAATACACTCAATCGACTCTTCAACATCCGAGGTCTACTCCTCGATCATTATCCTCAATAATTAAACTAATGGAACACCTGAACTTACTCAATTGCCGTCCGGATACCGAGACACAGCGAGTTATGACACCCGCCATCTTGCCCCACTGACGTTTTTTATGTTTCACCGAATTCTCGGAACTCCCGTTTTATCAAGCAGAACCTTCACTCCGAAAATCAGCTGATTCCGGTGGAAACTAGCGTAAGCCCCTGTCAAACTGCCGCCATCTACTGGCATCAGTGGTCAGCGCGAATTACCGTCTCATGATACGAAACGTTTATTTTGGTTCGGTTGACAATTTCCGAGCATCATTTTGGAAATATCGTTGACAGTAAGAGGTTTAGACAAAATTGTCACAAAACATTTTTTATGGAAAATTAAATGGGCTGTATAAAAGGTTTTATAACATTTACTTGTAAAATCAGTCATTACGGAGATAATTTGATGATTAGAGCGAGTGGTGGTATTCTAAGGGAATATGAAACTTTGGGAATCCCGTAATTATCTGGGAATTTTGTCCAAGTAATTCTTCATTGAACTATTGGGGTATTGATTGAACGAAGTCTTTGTTTTTGTTAAATTTTCATAGAAGGCCGAGAACAAAGTTTTCTCAGTTCACGATTGTTTATTCATGTACTTTGCGTTTTCCTTATTTTGTGCATCTGCGTTTACTACAGATCATCTGCTCATTTATGTTCCTATATAAAGAGACCGTCTACCCCTATTCAATCAAAAAATCAATTTCCTTCGGCAGCCCCAACCAATAAAACAAATCATCAAAACTGCGTTTGAAAATCCAAACAACGACGAATGACGTATCACAGCATACCCCGCGCAGCCTTCATATCCGACCGAGCGAGAGAGATGGGGCGCCAACGTGAAACGTGGAACTTGTCTCTAGTGCACTAGTGTTTCATCGTGAATTGACAATAAACATTCGCAGATAATCCCTCGAGAGTCGTGTTTTCGTGTTGTGTCGTGTTAAATGTTGAAGTGAATAATAAAATACTAAAATGCCATCGAGGAGGAGCAAAGGGGGCCTCATTGCCAAAGTTAATTTCCCCCTTTACAGCATTCAAATGCTCACCAGCAGACACATACTGGTGGGTGGTGGTGGAGGATCCTCCAAAACTGGTGTAGCAAATGGATTTGTAAGTCCCAAATAATTTTCCCTTCAAAAAAGAAAGCCCTGGGGAACCACTTCACCACTTTTCATTTTTTTTGTGACGTCATGAGGTTATGTTTTGGGTTTCTCCTCAGGAAATCTTCGAGCTGTCACACGATGGCTGGGGGTTCACAGCTGAGGAGGTGACGAGACATGAGACAGGGCCCAGTGTCGTGATGAACTGTGCCTGCAGCAGTGGCGAGAAGAAGACGTACTTGGTGGCTGGACAGGAGAGCCACTGTCAACTGTACGATGTCACCTCGAGGGTGGTGACTCTGGAGAACGGGGAGATACTCAAGGGCACCAGTGCCAGCACCATCAACAGGGAGAACCTTAGGCAGAGGAGGAAGAGCGAGAGGAGCGACGAGATCAATGGGGAGAGGGTGGAGGAGATCAAGGATAGCAATGCTAATGTTACACATAAGAAGCTGCAGCTTGTTCTCAAACCTTCCACTAGTATTCAGACGGATTTCAGGTGAGTTGTGATTCATTAGAAAATCGTGACGAATACGAATGGTTGAAATAGAAAGGTTGTCTTGAATCATTCGTTAGTAATGCATGATTCTGGATTTTGTTGGATTTATTTATTTTATGGGACATTGTGAATTCGAGTTTTGAAGATTGCACACGAATTTTTTAAGGTATATCCCTAGAAAAGGGTTTTTTTACGATTGTCCCCATGTTTTGCATACGTAATGTTTATAGTATTCGTCAACGCCAAGGATTAGGAGATTTTAATCCTAAAAAATAGAAATTTCGTGAAGTCTTTTCTTATTTCATTCAAATAATTAGTTAATAAAATTAATGAATTAATGTCTTATTTGATTTAAGTAGTTATTGTTGTCTTCATTAAGAATATATGAGGATAGAAAAATTCAATGACTTGTGAGAATGCAATAAATTAAGTAATTTTTATTTTTTATGGAAATCCATAGGGACTAACGTTTGGATGATATTGTCTTGGGATATACCAAAAGTAGTATAAACATCACTCAAGTTTTGAAGATTAAAATTTGACATAAAGTCGAATGAAAGTTAACATAAGTAGAAATACTCTGGTTGAGTTTGCGCACAATCGGTGGTCTAGTATTATTGACAATAATTAATCTTGGAATTCTAAAATATCGAAGAGTTATGAGAAAATGAATTTTTGAGAAAATGAAGATTAAAATGTAAAAAAATGTCAAAAAATAAGAAAAGATGAATAACAATTGTACGCCCAATGTGAAAATTATCGTCAGTGTTAAACTTTTGTAATAAATAATTTATGGAGGGAAACGAGCGACTAATGTTTAAAAAAATTAATGGAGAAAAAATTAGATGGATCAATTTCTTACACTCACCAAAGCTAGAATTCATGGGAAAAATTATCAATGATGAATAATTTTTTTGGCTTCTTCAGTGTATTTTTCTCCGTTACATTCAAGGTCTCAACTGGAGTTTATTCACATCATTTTAATCTCAGAAAGTAATAATAGTTCTCTTCTTCAAATAATGATGAACCTCTTCAAAGCTAAAAACAGAAATTTTATCTAATACTCTTATGACTTGAGTTTTATAGAGGGGAGAGAATGAAGGGACAAATTATTCGCAACACCATTTTGGCTTTTAGAGTTTTATTACATTTTTATAGTGATAAACAGATATTGATTAATTAAGCTATCGTTTTGACAAGTTTCCTCGAATTGTTAGGGTATTTTCACAGTCTTTGGTGGATATTTTCGAATCTAAGGGGAATAAAACGATTTTATTAAAGTGATTTTTTTAGAAAGAATTGAAAATCGAAATAAAGATTCACCATTTCCTGTAGATATTCATTAATATTAACTTTTCAATGCACTCAATTTATTTCTTCACCCACCTACAATGAATTTCCAATGAATTAAACATCCAACGAATTGTTCAAATTGCAGTGACTCAGAGCCAATTCAAAGGATAGTCCGAATAAGCCCAAATGGTAAAGTAATGGCGACTGGTGGTCTCGATGGTGTCATTCGACTCTGGAAATTTCCTCACCTGACAAAAATCCATGACCTAGCAGCCCACACAAAAGAAATTGACGACATTGACTTCAATCACGATGGAACCCTAGTAGCCTCGATAGCGAAAGACTCTCGAGCCATCATCTGGGACGTCGCCAAAGGCACCAAGAGTCAGGAGCTCTCCTGGACACCCCCTGCAGGTGGCAAATACATGTACAAACGTCTTCGGTTCAGGATTCCCATTGACAAGAAGTCCAAGGCCCAGTTATTCATTCTGTCGAACTCAATTGTGGCGAAGAATCCTAGTTATCTTCAACTCTGGGACCTCGAGCAGGGCTGCATCGTTAGGTCCACGTCCTTTAGGGAAGCATTGTCAGCTATCGCAGTGTCTGATGATGGGAAATTCGTCGCTGTCGGGACTATGTTCTCGGGGAGTGTTGATATATTCGTTGCATTTAGTTTACAAAGGGTTCTGCATGTACCTGGGGCACACAGCATGTTCGTCACGGGTCTGGAGTTCATTCCCTCGAAGATGGAGGGCCCACCCATCACGAGTAATGCAGAGGCTGCTGTTGTCAGTATATCCGTGGATAACAGAATTTGTATTCATAGCATTCCATACAGACGTGAGTAGTTTTTTATTCGTTGAAAGATTGTTGTCAACATGAACGCATTGGTTCTCATGCATTTAGATTAATTGCTCCCTTTTTTTCTCAACAATGAATGTTTAAAAAAAATCATAATTCAGTGCAAAATGTAATTTGAATGGATATCCTTAATTTGAGAATCGATGGAGATAAATTCACATGTGTTTACATATTTTTAGTTTATTATTTATGTTATTATCGAAATTTGATGATCGTGAGATTGGCTCAGAATTGTCAGAGAATATTTCTGTTTTTTGGAGGGAATTTTATAGCCATTTCAAAATGCAATTAATTTAAATAAATGAAGTAATTTGATGCTTTAATTTATTTCACAAATTTGATGGGGATACAATTACTTGAAAATCATGATGAACGAGAGAATGTATTTAGGCTGACTTGATCCATTTTTATTTATCTACTTATTTGCATTTTTCTATTTACAAAATGATACGGAAATGATATTTAATCTATCTTCTATCAATCTTTTCTATCTTAGAGTCGATTGAAGAATTAATTTAGATAAATCTATAGTTCCATGTAGTTTTATTTATTCATTCGATGATACATTTGATTATTAAAAGTTGATGATTCTCTAATTATTCAGTTATCAGAACATATTCACCTTCCAAGTACAGAATTGTTCTTCTATTTTAATGAAAAAAATTATTGTTTTTGCTTATTGATATTTTGTATTTTAAATATCTCAGAATCTATCGAGGTAAATGAAAATCGTTCAGATAATATTTTAAGAGGGAATTTAATTAATTTAAAAAATTTGACGATTTTTCCTATCGCAACTTATTTTTTTTTAATTAAAAAAAAAAACAAAATCATCACATTTGGCCTCCGCCATTCTACCATTTTATAATTCAATTAATGTAAAACACTTCTTACATTAAATTCTCATAATAATTCGTATTTTTTTTCCAGATACACTCCCCTTCTGGCTGGTAATAATATTCATCATCCTGAGCATCTGCGGTGCATTTACTCTCTGCAGCTACATGGGTATATGACCCGGGTTATTTAATACTGAATTAGTTAATGTTCGTTTTACCGAGTCTAAATTATATTTTATTGACTAAAGAAGGAAAAAAAATCCTTGAGAAATCTACTTCACGCGTACGAACGTAGATTGCAAGAACAAGTGATCTCTACTGTGGATATGAAATTCTTGTATGAGTGTGCACGATGGAAATGCGGTGTAAATGACTCTGAATGGGTTTTTTGTTGAATGGTGGGGCTCGTGGACGTGAGAACAGTCTCCTGCAGGGTAGGAGGGGGTACATGCACCTTGCCAGCAATACTTTCGTAGGTAATTGTATAAAATTAATTCTCGCTCGCTGTACGTAATTTCCTTGTTGATTGATTTTGTTTTTTCTTCGTCTATTTTTTTCTCATGTATTATTTTATCATGTAACTGCTGCAGTTCCTTGTTAGGGTTAGTGTCGTTTCAATTTTAGGGGAGTTTTTTAAATAAATTATTTTGTCTTATTTTTTGCTCAAAATTATTTTGTTTAAAATTTATTGTGTCTTTAATTGAATGGAATGAGTGGGACAATGATATTGCCAACAATTAACGTAATAATTGAATAGTTAAGGGCTAAGGAGGATATTTTAGAGAATGGCTACATGGGAAATTGATGCTTTTAATTCACTCATTTATTAATGTTCCAAAGAACCGATCTTGCATTGAAAATGAATTATGGAAATATTTTGGTCGTGAAATGAGGATTGTTAAGGGGAATTTGTTAGATAATTTCTGGGGGAATTTTGCGAACAAACAAAAGGTCTTGTGCCATTTTTCCCTGACATCACTCTCTATGAAGATAATTTAATTTGCAATAAGTGGTAAAATTATTCGAGTCAGACATAAAATCTTAGTTCATTAACCAATTATTTAGGAATTTAGTTATTCAGGGGAAAATGTCGAAAGATTTTATTTGCAGTCCATTAAATTTACTGCAGAGTAATCTCTTGACATTTCTCTCCAGTAATAACCTACTATTTTTTTCATTCATCTCTTGTTCTTTGTCACTTTGATGTGATCTTTTCACCTCTTTATTACATTTAATTGAACAAATTTGCTGTTGTCATATGTTCGAGCCTTATTTATTCCACACGAACTATGTGAATGGAAGGAGATCTATGTGAAATGTCAGAAGCCTCTGTTGATAGTAAAATAAAGATATTAGGATGAAATCTAGTTGCATCGCTGTCGATATAAAAATATTTTTCTCTTCTATCGGTGCTCGTTCTCTCGTTCATTGTATTGTGATTGTTGCCCACGAGTTGTCCAGTTGAACACATTGATTCCCTTGCGAAATTCTGGGCTTGATGACGTCAATAAATTTTTCCGATGATTCTGTCCATCATGGCGAGGATTAAATCGGTATACAAACCTGACAAAATGGCTCCTATAATTATACTGGATTTTTTTATGTTAAGGTATATCCCGAGACAATACCATCGCCTTAACCTCCGTTTGGCCTATGCCTAGCGTACTAGAAGCCCACATTTCATTGTTTATTATCCCCTAAACATTATCTATAAAAAACATCGGGACATTCGTAAAAAAAATCTGTTTTCTAGGGATATACCTTAGCTGAATTGAAAACTTCCAACGTTGGAGAGGAAATTCTCAGGGTAGTAATGAAATCTAATTCTGGAAAAAAACATTCTTAACACATAAATGATGATGGAAAAACCTGAGAAAAGTAAAATTCCAGAATATAAAATCTTGCATAAATAGGGAAATATTTCCAGAAATTAGCACAACAATTAATTGATTAATTAATTATTCCCTGAGGATTGTTGGGCAAGGTTATTTTGTGTGTCCTTGGAATAATGAAATCCAACAGGATTTTTCATACCTTGTGAATAATTACACGTCACCTAATGCTGGAAAAACATTCTTTGCATAAAAATATCGGCACAAAAACCTGAGAGACGTAAAAGTCCGGGATATAAAATCTTGCATAAATAGTGAAATATCGTCAGAAAATAGTACGATTGTTAATTGATGAATTATTTATTATTCCCTCAGGATTGCTTTGCAGGATTATTCAGTATATTCTTGTTAATTATGGAATTATCAGGACGAATGTCAGACATTATCAGGAAATGTAAAAAAAATCTTGACATTGTTTAAAGGCATTGATTCCCAGGATAATTCAACAATTAATGCGTGGTAATGGGAAATCTACATGCGTTAATTAGGTACTTAAATCTTTAAAAGAATTTTAAAAGAAGAAGCCACAGATTTCTTGCAGGAAGTTCCTTCGTCTACAACAAGTTCCTTCGTCTCTTGGCATTTTCTCTTATGAACACGGAAACACCGTTGTAATTCGGATTAATTATCCTCTCAGGATCAATATGCAGGTTTGTTTCGTCGAGGACCTTTCTCTCGAAATTATTTCGATAACAGAATGTTCCACCATAAAATGTCGAGACATTTTCTCGAGCATTTTTTTGTCTGCAGAAAATCTTGACACTGTTTAAAAGCGAGATCTCGAGATAATTCAGCGATTAATGAGTGGTAATGGAAAATGTTTAATTGTTAATTAGGTAATCATCACGTTAACGACTGGTTTTAAGAGAAAATAGCAAATGATTTCTTACTGGAAATTTCTTCGTCTACAAAAACGGACTTTTGACATTTTTTTCTTGTGAACACTAGGTTCTGAGGTAATTGAACCATTAGTGAGTGGTAAAATGATTCGAGTGAAACATAAAATCTTTAATTGTTCATTAGGAAATTATCTCGTTAATGAGTGGTTTCAGGAGAAAATGTTGGAAGATATTTTCTCCTGAGAGCACCCGTTTCCGATATAATTGAACTGTGAGGAATAAAGAATTCAAGTTTAGCACAGAAAACCCACGAATTCGTGCGACCGCGATTGTCTCAAAATTGAGTGATTTCGAGAGACATTTTTCTCTCAAATTATTCGTTTCGAGATGAATATTCAGTGAATAATCAAACTTCATTTCCCTACTCACTAAAAAATTCTTCATCAAGGGGAAAAAATTGACGTCAATAAAACCTATGTAGAAAGTTGCGTGCGAGTGTAAAATCTGCCTTTGTTAACCAATAAAAAAAAAACTATGAATTATGTAATAAGAAAAAGAGTGTGAAAATAAAAAGAAATTATCGGCGAAAGGATTGACATTCGGATGTTTTTTTTCGCTTTAGGGATGCCTGAAAATCGTAAGTAGTACTTGGAACGTTTTTTATATGAATTTTTTTTCTACATTTATTGCTGAATATCGAAGCTTCCATTTAAGCCTCAGTTCACCCTAGTATTCAGGAGAATTTGTAATCATTTTGTTATGTAAACTTTTGGGGTCTAAATTTAATTTTCAATCTTAAACCTTTTCACAAGATTTTGAAAATTTATGCAGTAATTTAAAAAAGGCAATTCTTTTAAAAGGACGACTTTTTTTTCTCAATTATCGTTAAATAATAAATTTTCAAAATTGTTCATATTACGAATTTTTATTTTAAGAATTGTTATTTATTTATTTAATTTAAACAATTTTAATTATCTATTTGTGGAGGAAATGTTAAGAAAATAATGATTATTCGCAAAATGTTATTTAAATAACGCTAACATCCATGAATTTTTTTTTCTAATTTTCCTCACACAATTTACGGACATCTAAGTACTTTGGCTATTTTTTCTTCGGTGAAATGTTTTTATACTTTTGTCGCCAAACATCAGAGTTTTCATTTAAGCCCCATAAAAACCCAAGTTTCCGGACATTTGACAACGATTTTATTATTTAAACAGTGCGGGTCTGAATTGGAATTTCGATATTGAACCGTTAGGAAAAATTTTTAAAACACATTTTTAAATTTTATCAATCTTTAACATATTTAGAATTGATCAAATGATTCACAAATTGCAATTTTGGAAAATTAAGTCCTTTTGTTATAAACAATTTGTAAACATTGAATTTTCCACTATTAAAGTCATTTTTGCAGAATCGTAACAAATTTATTCATGTTCAGAATTTTACCAGAAATCGATTCCATTCTGTAAAAAATGAAGTTTTCGAAAGTTTAAACAATTTCAATGATCTATTTATGCGAAGAGAATGTTAAAAAAAATTGTTTGCAAAATGTTAGTTAAATAACGTTAAAATCGATAAATGATTTTTTTTCATACTTTCCTCACTTTCAATTTAATTCACAAATTTGGTGATTGGAATTCCCTCAATCCATCGTGTGGTCTACACCAACCTGTAAGAGGTACTCGAGTATCCTTAACGAATCCGCAGAGATGAAAGACCCAGTGCACTGGGCCTTTCATTCTGCCCCTTTCCTATCCAATAAAATCGGAATTTGAATGAGCGGCCATTCAGACAAGCCTCTCAAACAAATCGAGGAAAGTAGTGATCTGTTCTTCTCATCTCATTCCAATGTATCCAGTCGATCGATAAATCACGAATGAATTGCCGCTGGGGTCTTCGGAAATGAGGCGATTCGTACAAATGTATATAGTTTGTATATGGAGACGGGTGAGAGAAGGAATGTCGTCCGAAATCGAAAGGGACCCCTCGGGTTACAACTGACATTTTCACCGATGGCTTCTTCTCTCGATGTCTCTCGCATTTCCAGAGATAAGTTTCAAGGCTTCGTGGAGAAAGGATGAAAGTGAAAAAATCGACAGGTATTCAACAGCGGATGAAAATATTTTTCTGAAGGAGAGGACGAAGGGAAAAAAATTCAGCGGAAAAAAACAAAATGAGACATTAAGATATTTTTTTCATAAACTCATTAATGCCAAGGATATTCACGAAATAATTTGGGCATGAACTGTTGATTCTTCTATTAATTGTGAAGTTGCAATTAATATTAATTGTCTAATGTCGAATTATCTCGGTAATAAACAGTTCTAAGGGAAAATGTAAATAAACATTTTTTGTAGAGAATTTTCTCACCTAAAAAAAAGATCAAGACAACAATTTCGATATCTCCCATAGGCTCAGAGATATCCTCGAAAAACTGATCTTGAAATGCAATCAGAAACGAAAAGGTAAAGCAATTCATCTTTTCAGCTGTTGGGAATCATGAAATTTTGCATAAATGAGGAAGAAATCAACTAATTTTTAAATTCTTTGTTTATTGAGAAATAGTTTAAGCTCATCATTAAAATTAATACACAACTGCTTATCTCCTAAACAAGGCATCCAGCACGTACGAAATTTCCCTCGAATTTCGTTAATCATATTAAAATCCCCCTCGTTGAATCGATCAATCTCATAAATTGAAATCCCCCAAAAACAATCATCAATTCTACTCTACAACTAATTTCGCATTCGATCCACACGCTGGGGAGGTATCACTTCTGACCTCACGGACTTTCTCAGCGAACCATTCATTTGCAATTCCTCAAAACCAGAGAAAGTCGAGTTGTTGTCGAGATCCCCTGTCACGCGCCTCAGTAACGTACAAATTCAATAATTTCTTTTTTCATTATCATTTCGGTGGATATTTACAAGTGAAAATAATTCGGGACTTTCGTAGTGAGTCGACCACTGATGAGACTCATTACCGAAAGGCACGAAAATGATTTCAGTGTTGAAGTGGTAAATCTTCGAGATCTTCGAAATGAAGGATTCACGATTAAACCTTTGCCTCGAATCCGTTAGCACGTTTCTAATTCTCGAGTTATCTGGGTGACTGTTGATTACATCCAAATAGATCTACATTTTTTTGGAAACTTCTAAAGAGATTTCGCGTACGAAAAAGTTTAATAGAAAAACTTTCTATTAACCTTCTATTAGTTTTTGGCAAATTCTTTTGGAATATTCCATAGAAAATTCTGTATAGAAAAAGTTGATAGAATTCAATTTTTTTATACAACTTATTCTATTAAGATATTTTCTACAGAATTCCGTTGGCTGAAATATTCCAAGTTTTCTTGTTTGACTTTCTTGACGAAAAGAAAAGAAAAATAAAATATTAGATATCATGAGATAGAATGAAGAATAGAATATTATAAAAATAGAAAAGAACAATAGAATGAAAAAAAATCGAGCCGAGGAAATTCTATAGAAAATATCTCAACAGACTAGGTTGTACAGAAGAATCTAATTTCATAGGCTTCTATAGAATATGTTCAACTGAACAATTCAGTAGAATTAGCCAAAAGCAAATAGAAAATTCAATAGAAATCCAACAGACTTATGAATTAAATTTTTCGTGCGTTTCCTCCAAACCCGTGGTCCCCGAGACCCTCTCCAGTCCCTAAAAGTGAAAATCGCCTCATCTCCTGGTACTTCTTCCCCCTCCCAACCTACCACTTCGCAACACTTCGCCCCCTCACTTCTTAACAGTGAACCCATCCCCAGTGGGATCAAGAAGCCAGGGATAGTTGTTGGGGCACTCCATGCAGGTGAAGAGTCGCAGAGTCTCCCCAGGAAGTTCCCTAGTAGTAAGAGGACAGGCATTAGGGAGCGAGCAGTACGGCTGTCCCTTCTCATCGCAAGTCTCCTTCCAGTCCTGGAAGTCCCTCAACCCTGACAGCTCCGTAGGTGTCTGCATCCACTTGATGACCTGTACCATCGTGACAAAGTAGACATCCCCTTTAGTCAGCATCTCGTCAATGAACTTGATGAGTTCGTCCCTGTACTCCTTCTTGCTCTTGAGCCACGACGCGTGGAAGTGGAGGCCGAGAGGAGCTTTGTTGCTGTTGTAGTGTCTGTTGAAGTTGTGCCTCAAGAGTCTCCCGAACTGCTCGCCAGTCTGAACGTTGGAGCACGAGTCCACCATGTGACAACCGGGCAGGGACTCGTCGAACGTCGGATCGTCACGACGATCGAGCTCATTCATCACCATTTCCCAGACGGGGTGTGACCTTGAGGGACAGTTGCCGCCGTTTCCGTTGCACTTGTGGGGCATCCTGAAGTAGAGAGTGTACGGCCAGATGGGGACGCGACCCAGGGAGGCGGTGATTGAGGCGTCGTACACGAAGAATTGGTCGGACATCATCTCGAATTGCTTGTTTCCACCGACCCTGAGGTACGGCGCTCGCATGCCGATGATCGAGCCGTCAGTGATGTTGGCGAATCTCTCGATTATCAGTCTGGCACCTGCCATCTCCGCTAGCCAGTCGTCGTAGGTCCCCTGGGTCCAGTACTGCGGATCGTCCTTGTGGGTCAGGGAGAAGACGCCCACCTCGTGACCCTTCCGGTGGAGATCCTGCACGGCTGAGTAGTTTGTGTACTTGTGGGAGACGAAGAAGGTACCGCGGATCTGGCAGCCGTTGGGGTTTATCCGCTGGCCGTTGAAGATGTCCTCGTAGAGGTCGATGTTGTCGACGTTCACGGCACCGTTGAACGTGATCGTGATCATCTGGGGGACCTGCGACGGCTCGATGCCACCGGGAATTCTGGTGCCGTCGGCGGAGCAGTAGCAGTCGGGGAGGACGCACTGGGTTGGGTCGCAGTCGGGGGCGCGGTTCGGGTCGGTCTCCACGGCTGGAAGATTAATGGAGGGGAATAATTAATGGCTCCATTGATGGATGATGCGAATGCGGAGGAGTTCGGCTCGGGTGGAGTTTTTTTGGTTGTTGCCGCCGGCGGTGCCCGTGGAATTCTGGTCGTTTAGGTTTTATTTCGTCGGAAATTATGGGAAAATACTCGACAGTTTTCTCAAGAAGGGGACAATATCGTGAAATTTTTTTAGAAAATGAATATCTGCGGAATTTGAGGGATGAAAAAATTTAATAGAAAAACATAGCGAATTCGCTAGATAATTTTAGTGGCTTTCTATTGAAGTTTCTGTCAGTTTTTGGCCGATTCTGTTGAAATGTTCAATGGAAAATATTTTGTAGAAAAAGTCAAAAGAATTCGATTTTTCTATGCAACTTGTTCTATTGAGATATTTTCTGTAGAATTTCCTCGGCTCAAATTTTCACTTTTTCCCATCAAGAAAATCCATCGGTTTTTTGATGGATTTTCTTGATGGGAAGAACAAAGAAATGGAATGAAAAAAACTTGGAAAATTTGTGCCGAGGAAATTCTATAGCCGAGGAAATATATGAAGAGAATAAGTAACATAGAAATTTCGAATTTGATTGACTTTGTCTATTGAATATTTTCTATTAGAATTTCAGTAGAATCGGCAAAAAACTAATAGAATATTTAATAGAAATTCAATAGAAATTTCTAACGAATTCGCTAGGTTTACCAATTAAATTTTTTCGTGCGTGTTACGCTTAACGCTAGTATGATGTCTGATGATTTTTTTTTCGTCATGAAAATCGGAACTGGGGCTTCAAAAAGACGTATTTTACGGCTAAAATAAAAACGTAAATTACGCCTAAACGAAGCGTCTTTCACGCTTTAATCCTTTAGGCGGATTTCACGCTTAAGAAATCGTAAATTACGATCTTAATAGAAACGTATTTTACGACTTACTTCTGCGCGATTTATAAAAAAAATAACGTATTTCCGTGTAAAATCACTGCTTCCGTATTGACCTTCACTTTTACTCGTCTGGGGATTGGCATTGGCCCGTCTCCAAACTCGTAAAAGTGAAAATCACTACGGAAAATTATCGTTCACGACTAGTGCCATGGGGTTTTTTTTACTCGCGAGGTTGGTCAGTCCTCACCTTCGGCTTGGACGCCATTTCTACGCAAGTAAAAAACCGCACGGCATTCGCCCTGAAATATTCTATTTTTTTCTTCGTCATTAATTACGGATAAGAAAACGTAAAATACGGAAAAATCATCGTAATTTGCAAATACGATACTGCAATTTACGGCGATCTTAAACATAATTTTTGCTCCAATTTCAACCGTAAAATACGCTTCAGAAAGCGTAAAAGACTTAATATAACATATTTAATTATTCAATTGCCATCGGCCAGTGAGCGATGGAATCGAACTTTGAGGGTAATACCGCCCGACTTGCGTCCAATACCGCCCACTGTTATAATTTTTCCTATTTTCATCCTTCGTTTCCATTCTTTGGCTCCATTTTGAGAAAGATTTCACGTGAATAATAATAAATTATCCTGAATTTACCCGATGTTCCGTGGCCACCGACTACCCCAAATAATCGAGCTGTTACTCGACCGACCTCTAGCTGCAGAGTCTAACTGTTAGACTCTAACAGACCTACATATAGAAACCCTGGGCGGAATTACCCTCAAACGCGGAGCCTGATAAAATAGCCAATAGTAACTGATGAAGATATTTTTCTGCTATCGAAAAGGTTGCAATGGATGTGGAAATGTATAACGAACATATATTTCCCACTCCATTCAATTATAGACCAACTGAAAATTTGAAAAATCTTAAATTCTGGGGTCGCAATATTTTACGAATTCGGTAGGAAATGATTTGGAGCTTTTAACGATGTTTCCACGGAAGAAAATTCAAAATTTCCATTGAAATTAGTTGTTGTTATCAAATATTTGCAATCCTGCAAATTCTGAGAAATACGAGTGGGCGGTGCAGGCACCAGTTACCCCACACGCACACATACGAACATCTAAAAATTGCATTGTCAAACTTTTCGGATCACAACGGGTCGATATAACAAAAAGTCCAAATTTTAAATTCGAACTATTGCAAAGCTTCCATTAGGAAGCAGAAAAATCGCTCCTTCTTCAAAAAATAAAATACTTACTGCAAGCGTTCTCATCAGACTCATCCTTACAGTCTGGTTTTCCATTACAGAAGAGTTCCTTCTCAATACAGTCTCCATTACCACAGGACAATTTGCCCTCAGGACAAATGGGCTCATCTGTCTTGAGAATTGGAAGTACCTTACGTGGCTCTGTAATTCCCCAAGAAAGTTGTTTACACGATTAAAAATATCAATCAACAATTAACTACGACCAAAGTTGAATTCAAGGCCCAACTCCATACGCCTCTTGCCCCTTGTGTGATACAATCTACGTCAAAATGTGTATTTTTTTAGTGAACTGTTTTGTCAATCGTCAAAATGTCGGTTTGAATTTAATTCATCAACAAATTAATCAGCTAATTTTTATATCAGTAACAATGCTCCTGTTGAATGGAGATATGATTAATCCGACGAGTTGTGACGCATTCGGGTACTACAATTATTCGGCTCACGACGACGCACGCGTCTAAATAATTATAGAATATTATCTTCATTATTCAATTATTTATCAAAGAAAGACGCAATTTAAGGAGCTCTTTTTAATTGCGTTTCACTCCCACTCACCGTTACAACATTTTTACTCAATTTCAATGATTATTTGCTGTTTCATGATTATTAATTAATCATCTTTCGTAACACAAAGTGAAGATAAACAGAGAGCATTAAAAAAAATAATAGCAGCTGGCAAAAATAGTCTTGGCAACGACTCGAGTCTTTACGAGTGTTTATTTTTTGTTTTAATTATTAGGTAAATAATAAGAGAGTAGAGAGATATGCAGATGTATTCACATTTTTTTGAGATCATTCGATTTATTGTTCATTAAAGAGAAGTCGAATAATTTATTAAAATCAATGTAAATCATTTATATCAGTGTGGTGTGTGTTAGTTGAGAGATTGTGAGAGATTACTTCAATTATTCAAAATAAAGAAGCGTTTGAAGTGAAGAGAGAAGCTGAAGGATTGCTTTGAGAGTCTCTTTGCTTTTCTAGAGCGAAAATGAAGGGAAAATTGAGGTGTCTGAGTAGCTTGAGGGAGAAGTGAAAAATTACTCTTCAGAAGGTAAGTAAATTAAATTCGTAAAGAAATTTTATACAATATTCAGGGGTGAAATGAAATGGAACAAGAGTAACCGTTTTTACTCGTTTAAAAAGTAATTTGTTTGATAACTTTGTTTTAGAATTTATAGAACATGTTTTCTCTCCTTTTTTTATAGAAAACTTGAAAATCAATTGATTTTTTTATGAATGTAAAAAATATCGAGAGACATTCTTGGGAATTGAATTGACTTTCATTTTCCTGTGCAATTTATTCTATTGAGATTTTTGTGTCTGTGTCAACATGAATTTTTAAAACTTTAGTTTTTTTCTACTGCATTTTTCTTCTCGTTGAAGAATTCAAGCAAAAGAAGTTGAAGTATTTAGGTCGATCAATGACAATGTATCGATTTGTTCCATAAAATATTCGATAGAAAAACGCGAAAAAAATGCGGATTTATTAAAATGAATTGGTGAAAAATGGATAGAATCAATGAATACAAATTCAATAGAATTTTCTAGCGAATACAATAGGTTTCTCCACAAAATTTTTTTGTCCATGTAATTATCTATAAAAAAGATTCTCATTTGATGAGATAATGTATAATTACTGAAAATGTTTTATACTTTCCTTCAAAATTAATCGAACTAAAGTGAAAATAAAGGATAAAAGGCATTGAAAGTATGAAACAAGTAATTCTATAGTGAACGAAATGGCTAACAAGTTTCTCAAGGTATATCCCTAGAAAACAGGTTTTTCTTGAGATTGTCCTGATGTTTTTCATAGATAAAGTTTGTAATATTTCCCAGCTGTTGCAAAAAATTCAAACTAGCTAAACTACACAGTTTAGGAGATAATAAATAACGAAATGCGGACTGAGATTTGATTGATCAATTCCAAGTATGGCGAATTCTTTGTAAAATTTTATAGGACATACGTTCAAACAATTAATTAACAATTAATTAACAAATAATTTCTTATTTGATTAAAACCGTTATAATCGACTTTATAAACAACATATGAGGATAGAAAAAGTCAATAACTTATGAGAATGCGATAAATTAAGTCATTCAGAATTTTTTTCGGAATTCTACTCACGTATGAAATTATTTCATAGAAAAACCTAGCTAATTCGCTAGACAGTCCTGTTGAATTTCTATTATACTTTCCATTAGTTTTCGGCCGATTCTATTGAAATGTTCAATGAGAAATATTCTATAAAAAAAATAATAGTCAATAGAATTCAATTTTTCAATTTTTCAAATTTCTTCGGCTCAAATTTTCCAGGTTTTTTTGTTTGATCTTCTTGATGAAAAGAGAAGAAAAATAGAACGAAAAAAACTTCGAAAACTTGAGCTGAGGAAATTGTATAAAAAAATCTTAATAGAATAAGTTGTATAAAAAAATCGAATTCTAGGGGAGGATGGGGCAAAACGGTCCCCCTTCAATCGTCAATATTTTCCGATTCAATAATCCGATTGGGATGAGTTAGAGCTCGTTTTGAAGAATGAAAAATTATCTTCAAAATGAAGTTGAAACAGGGAATTTTCACAATGTCATTCACAAATTATTGACAATTGAAGGGGGGCCGTTTTGCCGCACCCTCCCCTATTAACTTTTTCTAATAGAAAGTTCAATAGAAATTCAATCGAATTGTCTAGTGAATTCCCTAGTCCGTATATTAAATTTTTTCGAGCGCATTGACTTGGGGTATACTTGGGGTATACCTTGTATTCACCAGAATTAATAAATTCATACCCGAAAATATAAAACGAAGGGGAAAAACTATGGAAATTGAAAGCTCATCACGAGTGAAATGAGGACATCGTGAAAGCGTTTGGGGTCACGGAGTGAGAATTTAGTATCTAGAAAGCGAAAGAGCTCAAGAGAGGCAGGCGTAAGCAGTTGGCGATATCTGTACAAAACGAGGGAAAAGTCGAGCGGCCTTGCTTGTCGATTAATTAAATTGAATATAAACTATTGGTGAATCGATCCTTTAATATCGATTTCCCAGTGCCTCTCCTTTATTTTATATCACGGTGTAATAATAACCATAATTACGAGCTACAAAGTGGATGACCGTGGCCGCTCGATTGATCCCGATTGTTTTCAGTAGAGAGAGACCAATGAAAGTGAATAAAAATACAAGTTAATGATTTGAAGAGTTTCTTCAAAGTGCGTCGATTTTTTTGCGTGCTACGGCGCGAGTCTACGAGCATTACCGGGGATTCGTTAAATTCCTTCGAGTGGATGATAATATTTTACAATTTTCTCGGAGGAATTTTTACATTAAAAAATGTTTTTTTAATTGCACAAATGGATTAAATGAAGATATAAAAAGTAACTCTGTGGATATGGATTTAGAAAAAAATTCATGAGACATTCTTTGTGGGGTTTTTATGTACATCAGAATAGGTCTCTTGACGTTTTTTCCATGAATTTATTATCAATTTCTGAGATAATATACTCCAGAATGTGCAAATCGTGTAAAAAAGATGAAAAAATTAATGATAAATTTTTTTGTCTCACAGAGCAAATCAAATAATTTGTGTTTAATGCATCACGTATGGAAAAATTTCATGGAACAATCTAGCGCTTTCTCAAAGGAATTTTATTCAAATTCTATTTTAGAAAAATTCTATTCGTTTTTTGCGTTAATTCGATTAAAAATTCCGAAACTTCCTCTGTATTTTAAATGTATATTTGTTCATAGAAAAAAGTTGATCGATATTGATTTTTCAATATAATTTATTCTGTTGAGATTTTTTTTGTAAGAATTCGGGGGGATGAATTTTCTAATTTGTTGTCTGGATTTCATTATGAAAAATCAAATCCTTTCTTCTATCAAATATTTTGCAATAAAATTACTTGTTACGCGGTAAAACAATTCAAGTCGATTTTGGCCATTAATCCGTTTTCAGGAATAACTCGGAATCTAAGGCGAATAGCAAAATTTTCGTTAAAATCTTTGTTGTAGAGTGAATTGGAAATTACAAAAAAGGCAATTACAAAAATTTCGCTATCACCCTTAGATTCGAAGATATTCCGTAAAAACTCAACTAAAAGCGTATTTGACTTGAATCGTTTTACCGCTTCGATACTGAAATGTCCGGGAAAGACAACTAGAATTATTGAACAGAATTTTAATACAAATTCAATATAATTTCTCCGAGAAAGCGCTAGGTTCTTCTATCAAATTTTTTCATGCCTGATATAATATTTAAAAAACATTTTTTAAAGTGCAAAATTAACGATAATCCGGCGCATTATATTGATTTCCCCGTTTAAACGTCACTTACTCTCGAGCTTGTCACAGTTATGGACCTTGCCCTTCCAGTCGCAGGTCTGTTTGTCCAAATCAAAGGCCAATCCATGGGGACACGTGATTTGCTTCAGTCCAGATCTTGTACACCTGAGGGGTCAGAACGGAGGGGACTTTGAGTTCAACTTAATTTTATTAACAAACGTATCTTACTCTCAAGTTGTTCGCAATTCTTGACGTTAGTCTTCCAATCGCAGGTTTGTCGCTCGATGTCAAATGCCAAACCAGTTGGACACTTGACAGAGGCCAATCGGGTTACGCCAATCTCAGTAGCTTTGTCGCATCTGATTATATTCGAGAAAAGAGAAAGAATGGTGATGTTGTTTACGTTGTTTCTCGATCCTTCGACGGGGCAATTATGGGGTGGAGTGGGCAATTCTAGCACTGGCTCGAATGATCGTTGAATCAACAAGTCACGGACTTGTTGGAATGTTAGTGTCTGACAGAAAGTATCATCTTGGGGGAATACTTAATTTATTTACTTTCGGGGACTTGGTGTCCTTGAACATTGTGAAAGTGGATTATTATTGTTTCAGTTCACATTTTAATTCGTGGAGTGAAGTTTAAGTGGACAAAATGATACTGACTCTCGTGACCCGCATTATACGCCTCGTCACCCTTATTTTGCCCCACCATTTCTGACCCTTAATTTTGGAGTCTTATTTTCGAGTACCAAATTTGCATCACCCGAAGTCGATTTGGATTTTTATAATACGGAGATATATAGAGACCCTTATTTTGACCCTCGTGACTGTTAGTTTCTGACCTCCATGACCCTTAAGCTGACCTTTGTAACGTTTAATCCAACCCATGTGACCCTTATTAGGATCCTTGATCTGACTCTCATTATAACTCTGGTGATCCTTAATCTATTCCTTGTTGAGCTTATTCTGACCCTCGTGATTTATTATGGCAAAAGTCGATTTGAATTTTTATAATATAAAGAGATTAGCTATTGATGACATTTTTTGCATGGCTAGGGTTCTTGAAATATAAAATGATTGTTACACCTTTGAGTGATGATTTCAGACAGAGATTTGCCGAAATTGTGTTTGGGAATAAGAAAGAAATCTTGATGAAAGTAATGAATAAGAAAGATGTTTTCTTTGAGGAACTTTTCGATCTACAAAAGAGATTTTTTTATGTTTGGTTGTGAAGCTGCGAGTCTAAGAGATATGTACAGTGGGTTCTGTTATTTACAGGGGAATATCAAAAGATCTTTTTTGAAGTTGAGAAAATTCCTCGTGAGAAATCTCTTTTTTAAAATTTCTTCTGAATCAACTCACTAGTAACGGAATTCTCAATTATTGGTTTTCTGGATAAGGCAAAATATCAGAATTGTTCACTGAAGTATTTTTTGCCAATAACGGGATCATTGATGATTAAACAATTTAGCTAATTGATAACTATCGAGAATAGTCACACGGAGATCTCTATTGAAGTCGATTTTTCATTTGATTACAGAAAAATACTTATTGGTTATTGATGGCATTTTTTGTAGTCCCTAGGGCCTGAGAAAAATCAATCGTCATACCCATATGCCCTTTCAATAATAAGCAATGATTATTATTTCAGGCAGAAATTAGCGTAAATTATGTCTGTGAGGAAGCGAAAAACATTAAATAAATTAGTAACAGATTGTTCTCTTGAAAAGAGATTGTTCGATATTTTCGCGGAGCTTTCGAGTCGGCGAGATGTTTCCAGAATAATCTGTTATTGACAGAAGAAACCCCACACTGTTAAAAAAATTTGTTTCAATTTTCCGTGCCAAATTCTGGAAATTTTTATCGTGTCCAAGTTCCACTGAAATGTCAGGAAATCTTGTCATTGAAAAATCAAATATTCCATTCATTTCCTGTTCAAATGATTTGAAACTCGATAAAATACTTGATTTTTTAGTTCAATTATTCTGTAAAAATTCACAAAAATCAGGAAAATTGAAGGAAAAATTGAACATTTATGTCATTTTGTTTCTGAGTATTTATGTTCCACTGAAGATTCAAGCCAGTTGTGAAATTTCAATCTCACTCGAACTGAAAACTCATGAATTTCCTCGAATTCTACCTAGAACTTGATGTTTTTTCTAAAAAGTCCCACATCCTTTTTTTTAATCGAGTATTTTCGCCTCTGGGGGCTTATTCTCAACTTGTTTTACCGAACGGACCATAAAATATCCTCCACAAACGGGTATTTTTTCTGTATCATCTCCGGGCTATCTGCTCGATCAAATCTTGCAATTAATTAATTAACAACACATCACATATTAAAAAATTCGGAGGCACACGGATTCGAACTCAGGTGGGGTATGATCCCACATCTTCAGGTATTTTTCATTGAACTCCATTTCGCTCCACGATTACCTTCCGTACAGTAAAATTCGCCACAATTTTCTAGGTAATTTTTATCCGGCTTTTCTCTCCATGAGAAAAGAATTGAATTCTGCCAATCAAATTTGTTTCAGACAAGAAGTTACAGTGAAATTTTGTATGGAAAGTACGGGCATTTATTTGTCTGAAACAAATTTGTTGGGTAGAATTATATTTAGTTCTCACTGCAGAATAAAAAAGCCTCTTTCACTCATAAATATTCCCGGCAGCGACCGCCCATTAATTAAAAATCAATCAATTCCTCGGAAGTCCACATGACTCCGTCAATCACCGGTTTTACAGTTACCCAGAAGGTGTGGAGACCTCGACTTACCGTTGCCACGATCGACACAATAATCAATACGAGTTCTCAACTAATGAATAATCCCACTGAATCGATTGCCAATAATTCACCGAGGGGAAAAAATTAATTAAATAAATTGCCGAGTTATATAAGAAGAGTTATGTAGCTCACCTCACGACGTCCCTGCAGTCGCCATCGACACTGAGACGGAAGTATTCATCACCAGGCCTGTCCTGGCACAGCTCCTCAGCATTAGGACCAGGCCCGTCCTCTCCCTCATCATCTTGCGCTCTCACCGTAACTGCGAAATACCAATTATTACGACATCAGCAATCAGTTTGAAATATTACCATTGTTACTTTTACTATTTTTTTTATTCCGGAATGATAAACGTTTGAGCAATTCAGTTTGACTTTTTCGTTATTTCACATCACGACAAATGTTTGAATTTTTTTCATTGAGAAAAGTGGTGGCACGGGGGGAGAAGGGTCAAAGAACTCCGGTGAAGTAGAAAGTCTTGGAAATGTCAGGGCGACACTGCGGTAGGGGAAAGCAACGGTGGCTATACGGAGGCGGATTTTAAAACGATTATTCCGATGAGTATGTCGATTTTTAGGCGATTATTCTTGGTGACCTGGTGTGGTCTTCGATTTGACTTCTGTTGGGGATTAGGTAGAGTGAGATTATTTTGAAAATGAGAATTTCGAGGACTAGAACAGAAGTTTATTCACTTTTTTGGGGAAAATCACTAACTTTGAACATATTTGCACGTAAATACGTGTCACATTTAACTTTAAAAATTGTTTTCGTTGATTGTTTACACTGATAGATTGATTCATTTATTCCAAACGAGATTCGTTAGCTATTAAGAAATGGTGGAGTTGAATATGATCAAATGAATATTCGTTAATAGTTAACGAATGATTCAGTTGAAAGGCGAAAATCGAGTCAAACAAGCCTCCTCAAATATACATTTGTTAAATATTAACGAATGAAGATTTGGTGAGACCGAATAGACCCTCATCTCTAACCAAATCCACTCGTTAACAATAACTAATCCTTTCTATCAGCGTAAGCACCTCGATCGTGTTTTAGAAAATGTAGAAGGGTTTTGTAAATGTATGTCAGGGAACATTTCTAAAATGCACTAGTTTCACGTGATTTTTCCAGTAGTTTCTCGTTGATATATTAATTGTTGCGGTAGTTAACGGATTTAAAGGAACGTCCGGAAACATTTTTTGAAGTCCATGAAAAAAGCAGAGCAAAAAAACTCTTGGAAAAACTGTCGGAGACAGTTTTTGTAGAGAATTTCACGGGCTAGAAAAGAAGTTTTCTCACTTTTTTAGGGAAATCCAATAACTTTCGACATATGTACACGTGAATGTTCACTTTAAAAAAATCTGTTGTTTATTGCTCAATTATTTCGATCATGTTTTAGGAAATTTAGAAGAAAATATTTGGACAAGATCTTTTTTTAGTTTATGAAATGTAACTGAGAGGTTTTGTAAGAATATGCCAGGGAAAATTCTAGAAGGCACTAGTTTTGCAGCTGTTCGTATTATGCGCACATGATTCTTCCTGAAATGTCCTGAGATTTTTTAAAGTTCTTAAAAAGGCAGAGGTATTCTCCTTGTAAAGAATTTCGTAGGCTGCGAAAGGAGTTTGTTCACTTTTTTGGGAAATTCCACCAAATTCCGACACATTTAACCTGAATATTCGGCTTAAAAAAATGGTCATCATTAATCGTTTAATTATCTCGCTCATGTTTTAGAAAATGTAGAAAAAATTTGTGTCCAGGAAGATTTTTTCAGTTTTTTGTCCGGACGGATTATCTTGGAAATTGACGGATGCAAGAGAAAATACCCAGAAGTATTTTAAAGTCCTTGAAAAAAGCAAATAAAAAAACTTTATCATCCCTCAATTTTAGTAATTGTATGACGCATTGGCTTTGATGAAATTTTCAATAAAACGCCTGTAGAAAATGCAAAAATCGAGGAAAAATGACGAAATTCCTGAAAGGATTACAGTTTCCCACCATCTGTAATTTTTTCTGACTTTTTTTATAATAAATTCCCTGGAAAAAACCCTTTTTTGTGGTTTCTCTCCTAAAAAAATTCTTGAAAGCCCAAAGCACTGCACGATTAATAAAATTAAATTTAACTTTCAACAGATTTTTCTCTCTGTAAACCAATTCCCCAGATATTTTCAAATAAATTGATATCTTTTTACGTATTCACCACGCACTTTAGTTAATGGAAATATCCCGAGGTTTTCCCCCATTTGTATCCTCATTTCCCATTGAAACGGAAACAATTAACGTCAACGTCACCAGCACGCATGTCCGACATTTCTCGCGGCAAATTCATTGTACGAATTTTTAAAACGAAGTTTGATTCAACAAAAGGTAACAATTACGCTGAAGGATTTAAAATGGATTCACATCAGGGGAAATCTATTCAAGAGCGAGTAATGAGAATGGAGTACTCACCGGCAAGTAGAGTAAGGCATCCTAGTAGAAATATAAACTTTGGCGACATGATCGTCGTCAGCGGGACTGAAAACGTCTGGACAAGCCGCGCCCTCTCGCCCCTCTATATGTGGACCACCACTCCTTCCCTTCTTCTTGTCCAGGACTTTCACCTTCCGTACGGTGCTGCCACCATCATCACAAAAAACATCATAATTCGTTTTTGAGATTTGTATCAGTCTTCAATCATTTTGTTCTAAAAAAAATGAATTCTAATTGGAAAATAATTTTTCTCATTTCGTAACTGTGTTTTTTAAAACGTGAGGTACGCCCAGATTTTTCTAGATTTGTCGCGGGGAGAGAGATTGTTCTTGAAGGAGTTCTCACTTTTTTTAGCCGATTTTCGTTGCGGGTTTTTTCGTCTGACGTGATTCTAGCTGAAACTACTTGGGGGAATCTGTCGAAGGCGCTTTTTTGACTCGGAGAGACAATAGTTATGATTTTCAGGAATATTTCACTGATTCAGAACGAAAAACCTCGCGAATTTGGTTTTTCGATACTTTTTATTCTATTGCACTATTTTCTATAGAATTTGCTCGGCTCAAATTTTCTCGTTTGATATTTGACGTTTTTTCGTTTGATGTTCTTGATGAAAAGAAAAGAAAAGAAAAATGGAATGAAAAGACTTAGGAAATGTGAGCCGAGGAAATTCTATAGAAAATATCTCAATAGAATAAGTTGTATTGAAAAATCGAATTCTATTGACTCTTTTGCAGAATATTTTCTATGAAATATTTCAATCGAATCGGCCAAAAACCAATAAAAAGTTCAATGAAAATCCGATAGAATTGTCTAGTGAATTCGCTATGTGTTTCTATTAAATTTTTTCGTGCGTGAAGACTGATTTTTAAAAATCCGTCACGAATTTTTGGTGATACTGGACACTAATCAGAGTAACCCTAATAATCAGTGATTTTTATCACTGGTATTTAGTGATACATTCCTAGAAATTCGAGATAGGTTATTCACCCAAACCATTTGGTTTAATTCTGATAAAAAAAATTACAAAATTACAAAAATATACATATGTACAAATAACATGTTTACACAGCTCTTCTTCAAGTTCTTAATTGTGACAATTACACAGAACACTCAAATATTTAATCCAGAGGAAGTCAAGAAGGAATCAATATGTAAGAAATCCGTTGTATTTGAAGATTTCAAAAAGGCACTGATTTCATAAGGTGAAGAACAGCCCTCACTCCGTAAATAAATGACGATGTCATTAAAAATTAGTGACAGATTCACTCAATTTCAGAATGTCGCACTCGCGAATTTCAAAATCGTCAATCCTCGTCAAAAGTCGGGATTAGATTTCGAAAAAATTAAGAATGCACTAATGGAAAAGGTGGAACGATTTAGTTGCTGTCAACGAGGCGCTCAACTATTAATGCCACTTGCGTTAATAGTTAAAAAGCCTTGAAAATCAGTGACATGTCCCTGAAAATCAAAACTTTTTTCTCTCCGTGGTAGAGAATGCTTAGAAAGTGAGGAGTATAAGATGAGCACACGATCGTATTTCGGATGTTGGAACATACCGATGTTGATATTAAGGTTCGTGTTATCGTCATTCGTAATGCAGTGTTGGGAAACAATCATGAAATTTCAAATTCTAAATTCTAAATTTTCGAAGCAGAAGGAAGACGAGAATTCCGCAACTTGTCCGAAGACATGAATATTTAGTACCAAATCACGTTGAATTTCTAATTACTTGAAAATTCATGAGTATATTTATTTACCTGATTCCCTGATTTGTATTCGTATTCGTGGAGTAATTGAACTGAAATTTAGTTTACATTCATTTCCACATCAAATTGTGAACTTTTAATGACGTAATCCCTTGAAATTTTAGTGGAACTGTTACTTTATAAAAACTTCTCAAAAAGGGAATCAGATATTTGAACCAAGATAATATGACAGTTCAGCTGTTGATTCATATTTAATATTACTAAAAATATTGAATTGAATATTAAATTTTTTCAAACGTGTAAAATTGAGATTCTACACTGATAGAAAAGGTGGAACGTTTTAGTTGCTGTTAACGAGGCTGCTTAACTATTAATGCCATTCGTTAACTGTGAACGAATTGTGTTAATTGTTAAGAAGTCTCGTTAATAGTATCGTTAATAGTAACTAAATCGTTCTATCATTGTGTGAAACTTCCATAATTTTCTAGATTTGGAAAAGACAGAATAGGAAGAATAGGAAGAAAACAGAAAGAAAGATTGGTCTGTTCAGGTTCTAATGACTCATTTTTCTTCAGAATTGAGAAATCAATCCTCGCAATTAAGGATCAATCCTCGCAATTTTACCTCCACATTGCATCGATGAAAGATCACGTTAATATTCATTCTTTTAATAGGTCACCGAGCGATTATTAACCCGTCGATCATCCTCGGCCAGTAATCGACATACTCGTCTCGCCACAATCGCCAGCAGGGACTAATGAAATCGAGAGAACCTTTATAGAAATTATCACGTCATCCGCGATGTCAATAGCAGCATCAACTCCATTAGAAGTTTTTCATATCGAAATAAACTGCATTATAATACTGATTATCCCCATTACCCTTCCGACCAATAGAATGGGGATAAATAAATGGATAAATAGAATTACCCGGGAGAGTATCTCAAATTTATCCCAGGAACAAAAAATAAAATTTAATCTCGAGGTTAAATCAGTGTTAATTTAAACGGGGCTACAGGATAAATAAAAAATTATTCTTCGGGTCAAATAATGAAAAATTCTGACTTCTACGATATAATTGACCTCGAGGATTAATTTTACATTTTACATTTTTAATTGTATCTGGGGTTTATTTGAATAACAGGGCTTGGTGCAACCGGGCCTAAATAGAAATGAATTTGAAAATTCTGTTCATAATCTCAACGTTATTCGAAGATAATGGAATCTACCAGGGACAACCTTAAAAAAAACTCATCATCAGTTTGATGTTCACATCATCTTTCTTCTCAGCATCACCGATACGAGCATTCGCAGTATTCAATTCCTTGCACTTCAGACATTATTTTTACCAAAACCCCTCACGATTTCAACTTCCAACTTAGGAATTATCTCATCGCAGGATTTTTCACCTCCAAGAAGATGAAACGTGAATATCCACTGAATTAAAAGACTTGATAGATTGCTGAATCCACTCGCTATCTCCAGATAACGAAGAACACCAGAATGTTCTTTGTTCTCGAAAGGGTGGAAATTCCAGTGGCGCGATACTTCCAACGCCGAAACCACTTACTTCAGCAACTACTTGTTTCACCCAGTGAACGCAGTAACCAACATCCACTGGAGGTGAAAAATTATGACCCCTACGATATAATTGACCCCGATGATAAATTTTACCCTAAAGTTTATTTGGATAACAAGGTTTGGTGCAACCGGGCCTAAATAGAAATGGATTTGAAAATTCTGTTCATAATCTCAACGTTATTCGAAGATAATGGAATCTACCAGGGACAACCTTAAAAAAAACTCATCATCAGTTTGATGTTCACATCATCTTTCTTCTCAGCATCACCGATACGAGCATTCGCAGTATTCAATTCTTTGCACTTCAGACATTATTTTTACCAAAACCCCTCACGATTTCAACTTTCAACTTAGGAATGATCTCATCGCAGGATTTTTCACCTCCAAGAAGATGAAACGTGAATATCCACTGAATTAAAAGACTTGATAGATTGCTGAATCCACTCGCTATCTCCAGATAACGAAGAACACCAGAATGTTCTTTGTTCTCGAAAGGGTGGAAATTCCAGTGGCGCGATACTTCCAACGCCGAAACCACTTACTTCAGCAACTACTTGTTTCACCCAGTGAACGCAGTAACCAACATCCACTGGAGGTGAAAAATTATGACCCCTACGATATAATTGACCCCGATGATAAATTTTACCCTAAAGTTTATTTGGATAACAAGGTTTGGTGCAACCGGGCCTAAATAGAAATGGATTTGAAAATTCTGTTCATAATCTCAACGTTATTCGAAGATAATGGAATCTACCAGGGACAACCTTAAAAAAAACTCATCATCAGTTTGATGTTCACATCATCTTTCTTCTCAGCATCACCGATACGAGCATTCGCAGTATTCAATTCCTTGCACTTCAGACATTATTTTTACCAAAACCCCTCACGATTTCAACTTCCAACTTAGGAATTATCTCATCGCAGGATTTTTCACCTCCAAGAAGATGAAACGTGAATATCCACTGAATTAAAAGACTTGATAGATTGCTGAATCCACTCGCTATCTCCAGATAACGAAGAACACCAGAATGTTCTTTGTTCTCGAAAGGGTGGAAATTCCAGTGGCGCGATACTTCCAACGCCGAAACCACTTACTTCAGCAACTACTTGTTTCACCCAGTGAACGCAGTAACCAACATCCACTGAAGGTGAAAACCTGTTTTCGTAATTCACGTGTACACTTGAAGATACGACCTATACACGTGGTGAAGCGTGGAAAGTGAAGTGAAAATGGAGGTGGTGATGATGAGAAGAAATTCCGGACGAGTATTTTTATTTTACATTTATCTCTTACATATTTATCGTTATTCTCATCCAACTTACTTTTCTTCTTACGTAAAGGAGATATACCTTGTTTCGTCAGGCATTTTACTCCATTTTCCTGTGTTAAGTGGCTATAATTGGTATTGGGTAATTATTTTTTTATTGATTGTGAAGAGGAGAACTTTCATTGATGCTGTGAACTAATGTTGTTGACGAATATGTTGATTATTTTGCGAATATCTTCGCGGGGAAGTGATTTGGCAGGATTTGTCGAAAGAGTTTTTTTGAGAATTTTATTCTGCGGATGGATTAGTGCTCGAGATATTTCCAAAACAGTGAATAAAAATGCAAAAGGGTCAACTCATCATTTATATTTTATTTTTGTCATTCCGGCCGTAAGGCTGCGTTTCACGGACGCTCCGCCGTCGGCCGTCATGACAAAAAATATTGATCGTCATACGGCCAAAAAAAACTTTTCTGACAAAAATGATTGCAGCCCTCGTCTTCGGCT